GTAGAAAAAGTGAAGGATTTCGACTTGGTCAAAATCTTTAAGTGAAATAGTATGAAAAATGGATTGTTTGGGAAATGTATAGAATTTTGACAATGATAAAACAATGAGAAGTTTGTAAAAGACAATGTAAAGTGACAAGAAATTAATAGAGGAATGAAAGCAACACTGCAAAAAAACGTAAATTGGAATAAAAGACTTTGCATTTAATTGAAATGGTGTTTTAGAAATCATACATTTTGCTGAGTTAAACTTATTTCTCTCTGCGCTGAGTACTTTGATTTTTTTGAGTTTTGTAGTGAATTCAACACAACACCCTTAATCCTAACATTGGAACTACTATTTATACTAAATATAGAATAATTGCTCGCAACATTCTTCTTTTTAGCGCTTGACACGTAATTCTTGCACACTTTTCGTCTCTGAAATGTCTTCCACGTGTCCTTGTGGCTAAGACTGAAAAGTAGTTACTCGTTTTGAAAGTATTTCTTCGCGCCACAAATTTTCTGTCGAGGCATCTTGCTGACGTCAAAATCTCGAACCAAATTGTCGTCGAAATGTTGAACGAAATATCTCCTTTAAGAAAATATTAAGTCCCAATTTCCAAATTTCATATTGAGACTTCAACTTCTTTAAATAACACATCGTGTCAAAAAGTCTTTTCGTTCTTCCAACTTTTAGATTTCTTTTAGTGTGTTAAGATTTTAGTCCTGTCAAAAATTCCAACTAACAAATATTTAATTTCTCTTTGATGTCAATATACTTTTAATTCAGTAACAAAAATATATTTTAGTGATTAATATTGATGTTGCATACCCTTTTATACATTATAATGAATTTTTTTAGTCGATTCTTATATAAAAACATTATTTTAAGTTATACTTAATATATTACATTTATTGTTATTTCAATTTTAAAAGATATAAAAAGTGAAATTTAAGTAATTGAGTAGTGAGCAACATTTATCCTTTGTATGTGTCTGTTCCAACTTCACTCTTTAGTGATCTATTTATAGAAAAATAATGTGGACACAATAAAGTGTAAAAGGGTTATAATTCGTGTATGATAAATTGTTGGGTTGGTTGAAAATAACATGTTGAAGAAGTTGTACATCGCTTAAGTTTGTGAATGAAGAGAGTCTAAGACTATATATAGGATACAAGTTTTTTGAAGTCCCACATCGCTTACTTTTATGTAGGGAGAGAAAGTCCAAGGCTATATATAGGATTCAAGTTCTTCATTCTAAGATGCACAAGTCAAAATCACTTTAAGCATGTATTTTACTTTCTTTGTAATCTTATAATCTTATATTAGAGTGTTGTGAGATATATTTCAATATTAGTTTTGGAGGGTGTCAGTATATTGGGATCTGAGTTAGTTAAGGGTATATTATGTGTTGTAATGATTTTCACGTAATGTTATTCTCTAGTTGTCTATTGAAAATAATCATGGTTTTTCTCCGGTTTTACAGTTTCTACGTTATGTTCTTATGTTGTGATTGTGTTCCTCATTATTCTCTATGCTTTATTTGTTTTTTTTTTATCAACTGGTATCAGAGCTTTTGGCTTGATCTAGGGATAAATGTGCTTAGTATACTCTATGGTTGCAGTTTTGTCTGATCTTCCACATCAGAAAAGCATGACAGTATTGTGAAAGAGTTGTTAAGATGCAGTCACAAATTACACTGTGGAGTTTGGGCTAGAGAAAATTGATGGAATATTTTTTTTTTACTTGTGGAAAGTTCAGGTAAAAAGATGTGTTGATACAATCAGGATTATACAAGGTACAAGATTGTGTAAGTGGTTGAAGAGCTTCCTACCAACAAGGAAGTTTCACCATAAGTTTTCGACTTAGTTTTTGACATGTGAAATTCTTGGAGTAGTTTATCTTCAAATGAAATTTATTCTTCATGATAAAGTATATGATTATTGGTGATGACGATGCGAAATTCTTGAAGTGGTTTATCTTCAAGTGAAATATATTTTTCATGAGAGAGTATGATAGTTTTTTAAAACTATGATTATCGATGAAGACGACGTGAAAATTCTTTGATTGATGTAGCTTCAAGTGACTATACCCTTTATGGTAGTGTATGATTATTGATGAAGACAATGAAAGCTTATGTATTATTTTCAATCAAGGTGGAGATTGTTAGGGTTTGGAGAAAATGCACATGTTGAAGAAGTCTCACATCGCTTAGTTTTATGAAAGAAGAGAGAATCCACGACTATATATAGGATACAAATTCTTTGAAGTCGCACATCCGTTTAGTTTTGTAAAGGAAGAGAGAGTCTAAAGTTATAAATAAGATTCAAGTTCTTCATTTCCAAGATGCACCATTCAAAAACGCTTTAAGCTTATATTTGACTTTCTTTGTTCTCTTATACTATTGTATTAGAGTGTTGTGAGATGTAGTTAAATATTAGTTTTGGAGTGTGTGAAAGTACTGAGAGTTTGAGTTAGTAGATGATATATTATGTGTTGTAATAATTTTCACATAGTGTTATTCTCTAGTTGTCTATTGACAATGACCGTGATTTTTTCTCCGATTTTAAAATTTTCATGTTAAGTTCATCTGTTGTGATTGTGTTCCTCTTTTTTTTATACGTTTTATTTTTTCCCAACAACCAATATAAATTGTATCTTTTTGATAAATTCTTTAATTATTTGTAGAAAATAACATAAAAATAATAAAATGATGAAGATAATGAAGTTTATGTATTATTTTCAATCAAGGTGAAGATTGTTGTGGTTGGTTGAAAATATACATGTTGAAGAAGTCACACATCGCTTAGTTTTGTGAATAAAGAGAGAATCCAAGACTATATATAGGATACAAGTTCTTTGAAATCGCACATCGCATAGTTTTATGAAGGAATCGGGAGTCCAAAGCTATAAATATGATTCAAGTTCTTCATTCCAAGATGCATCAGTCAAAAGTACTTTAAGCTTGTATTTTACTTTCTTTGTTCTCTTATACTCTTGTATTAGAGTGTTTTGAGATGTAGTTAAATATTAGTTTTTGAGTGTATGGGTGTACTGAGAGTCTGATTGATGATATATTATGTGTGTAACAATTTTCTCCGATTGGTTATTGACAACGACCATAATTTTTTCTCCGATTTTAAAGTTTTTACGTTATATTTTTGTGTTGTGACTGTGTTTTTTCTTTTTTTTTTATGTTTTTTTTTTCTCAACAACAAATATAAATTGTATCTTTTTGATATACTATTTAATTATTTTATAGAAAATAACATAAAAAATAAAATAATATATTAAAAAGAATACGAAGTTAACAAATATATAATAGTTGTAAAAAAATATAAAATTTATTTTTTAATTTATTTTTAATTAATAAATAATTTATGAGAACTATTTATTTAAAAGAAATATTGGGACAAATGTCAACATTTAAAAAAAGGAGAAGTATTATTATAAATTTCTTTTAATCGTTAGACAAAATAATAATACATGTTATAAACTCATTTTTAATGATGATGTTAAATTTAACAATATTTTAGCTAAGACTTGCCGATATTCCTTTCATTTTTCTATTATTACACGAATATTATAGCATATAAATTTTGCTTGAAATATTTTCTTCTTCTGTATATTGGTATTTGTTGGTTAAGCTAAGACTTGCCAATATTCCATTCATTTTCCTATTATTACACAAATATTATGGCATATAAATTTTGCTTGAAATATTTTTTCTTCTAAATATTCCATTATTATTTTTCATCACACAAAAAAAAAAAGTAAAAAGAACTAAACGACATACAAATAAATAATGTGAGAGAAAAAAAAGAAGCATGTTCTAGTTTCAATTCTAGGATAGGAAAAAAAACGAGATTCTCGGCGAAAATTCCCTAAGAAGGATATTTACGGATTCTATTTCGACGGCTTCAAATCAAATATTTCATCATTCATAAATCAATAAATATTGAAAACCTCAGTGGATTCACAACAAGTTCGATTCGATCGATTTAATACATCACAAGAGTTTGTGTTTTTGTTTTTGACACGAGTGTCAACGAACACACTGCACTTGCATTCATCATACTTCGACACGCATGCATTCCATTCGAACTTTAAGGTTTGTGTTCTTTACACATGTTTTTGTTCTTTAATGTGCTTTTTCTCTGTTTTTGAAATTTGTGATTGTTGATAACTCTTTAATTACTCTTGTGTTTATTGTTCTTGTTTTATTCATCGTCTTCCTTGAGCTACTTTGCATTGGTTTTTTAAACTTTTTTTGGGTCTGAAAAAACAAGGGAAGATCTTAGGGTATGGAAATCTTTGAATTTTTCTTAGTAGCTGAATGAATAGGTGTTAATGATTATGTTTTTTTAGGAAATTTTTTATACCTGTTTTTGGAGTGAAAATGAAACGTTACGGAAGGGTTTTAGATCTGATTAAAACGGTCAGTGAAGAGTTGTTGTTTTTTTATTTTTATTTTTTTTTATCATAGAAAATAGTGACTTTTGATTTCAGTTTATGGTTTTAGGTTAGTGTTTTTTACAGCTGTGAGGAAACGTGTGTTTGTGTTTTTTTTTTTTGAAATATTCACGTGAACCTTGTTGTTGAGGGGAAAAAAATCTAATGTTTGTAGTTCAGTTTCCGTGTTCCTAGGTGCTTATGTTTTAAGCAATTTGCATTTGTTTTTTTGCTTTCTTTGCTTTGTTTTTGTGTTGTTTGTTTATTGATATATTTTATTTTATTTTATGCGTTGATGTTTCAGCTATCTAGGGTGTGAAATTCATGTATCTCCTCCTTACTTTTGTTTTACTCTTCGAGGACCCGAAATTGATTACAGTGGTGTAAACTTGATTTTGACGTGTTTGATTGTTCGTTCTCGTGTAGAATTTGTTTTGCATCTAGAGTTGTTGATTCTAGCTTGAAGATTGAATTTGGAGCTTTTGATTCTAGAAATGACGCTTATGAAACATGTTTTGTGTTGGTTTTGATTTAGATTTTGGTGAGTACCGAATAGAAGCGTTTTCATGACGTCGGCGAAATCGTGGAGATGGCTGATGAGAAAAAAGAGTAGCTTGCCTGATGGGGTCTGTCTGTCTGTCCTCTTTACTTCTAGTCTGATTATGACCTTGGTGTTTTTTAGGTGAATTTGTGGATAGTGCTAGGTATCTTTAGTTCCGAAGATTCAGCGTGCAAATTTGGTTTTTAACATCGGTTTCATTGGAGCAGGGTAAATCTAGTTTCAAAATGAAACAGTTGCCGTTCATGGCAGTTGTGTGTACAGTTATGTTGTTCATTGTATATAGAACTACAAAGTATCAGTATCATCAAGAAGAGGTATTCTTCAATTCGATACTCTTTAAATTAGATTCTTAAGTTAAAGATATATTAGACTATACTAATTTGATTGATTTTATTTCTTTTTTTATCATCGGCGGCCACTATCAGATTGACAAGAAATGGACTTTATGGGGAAAAACAGTGGTAAAAACTCATGTCAGTTTACGCGGCTATTTTACAATCTTTGCGCTGACATGGTTCTGTAAGTAGATGTACTATTTTTTATACTCATGGAACCATTGGTGTCGCCGCAGGAATATCCTGCGATTTCAGAGAAATTGAAAGGCTTGCCGCGAGGTATTATACAAGATAATTCAGATTTAGAGTTGAGGCCTTTGTGGTCGAGAAGTAATTCGAGGTCGAAGGTCAGAAATTTTGCATTGTTCTTCTGTACTTTAGTTCTAACGAAGCTGCACTGAGCTAAGAAAAATCTAACGATTGTTCGGTGGTGATTATGAAATTGCAGTCTAGGGATTATTCTAATCGTAACTTGCTGGCAATTCCAGTTGGTATTAAACAAAAGCATAATGTTGATGCTATGGTGCAAAAGGTACTTTTTGTCGACTACTTAGGTTGTCAAAGTTACTTGTATCGGCGACATTCTTTATCTAATTTCATTTATTTCAGTTTCTTCCAGAAAATTTTACAATTATTTTATTCCATTATGACGGGAACGTGAATGGATGGTGGAGTCTTGACTGGAGTGACAAGGCTATACACATCGTCGCCGAGAATCAAACAAAGTGGTAAGTATTAGGTAACGAGATAATGGTATAGAAGATGAATTGGACCGCAAAAGCCTAGGTTGTCTAGTTGTATGTCTATCTAAACGTACATGTATTCAGACACGCGATATCTGTGTGTTTGATGGTTTGTTTTCTATGCTTAGATGTGAGTTTTTGGGTTCACTGTCAGGTGGTTTGCTAAAAGATTTCTGCATCCGGATATCGTTTCTATTTATGATTATATCTTTCTCTGGGATGAGGATTTAGGCGTGGAGAATTTTTCTCCGTCAAGGTACGAATGATGCTTTTGTTTCTCTTCTGCTGTTTTTTTAATACTATTTCGGTGTATTCTGCCTCTGGTGTGATCGTGTGAAAATCGGCTTTGGATCTTCTGACATGATATATGATGATACTGTTAGTCTTGTTCTGATTGTAAGGCTAGTCCAGAACCTTTCGGCAGGCTTTTATTCTCGAAAAAAATATGGAAAGGATGAATATATCGTCGTGCTTTTGCAGATACGTTAAAATTGTGAAGGAAGAAGGTTTGGAGATTTCGCAACCAGCCCTCGACCCAAATTCGACAGAGATTCATCATAGAATTACAATTAGAGCTAGAAACAAGAAATTTCACAGGTGATGATTTATCGTCAGAGACTATTCATATCATATGCACTTTATTCATCATCGATTGTAGTGCTTACAATGATTTTTTTCATTTGTGCAGAAGAGTCTATGAACGCCGGGGAAGCACAAAGTGTTCAGATGCAAGTGAAGGGCCGCCATGCACTGGGTAAGTCAAGTTCTTATCGTTTTGACATCTTCCGTCAAGATGGAAAAATATCTATAAACTTGTTCAGATGTTCAATCAAGTGGAACGATAAAAAAATCTTGTTGAGTTTGTTACGCACTAGTCTATGAGATTGTGTTACGCTGTTATCGTTCTATCATTTTGGTTTCCTTTTTTTACGAACAATCTTGATATGCATATAGTAATATTGTTGTGAATGACAGAAACTTGAATACAACTTGTGTAGGTTTGTGGAAGGTATGGCTCCGGTTTTCTCTCGATCTGCGTGGTATTGTACATGGCATCTCATACAGGTAATACTATTTTCATGTTCTTGGCTGTTGGCATTCAATATGTGTTTTTTCGTAAACGGCTAAAGTTAGTATCGAATGTGGTTTCTCCAGAACGACCTTGTCCATGGATGGGGAATGGACATGAAACTAGGATATTGTGCACAGGTGAGAGTTACTACCCCGCCATTGGCAAGAGATAGTTATTGAATATTCTTTTCAACATTTCAACGCGACTTCTTCGTGTTATAGCGTCTTTTTGGTATGAGATGTATCATTAATGAGATCAATGTTGATTTCAGGGTGATCGAACTAAAAAAGTGGGAGTTGTTGATAGTCAATTTGTTGTTCACAAGGGAATACAAACTCTTGGCGGAAGTGGTCATGGTGCAACCAAGGTATTTTCCTCCTATCCGAATATTCAGTTCATATTTTCTACCATTTGTAATAGTTTGCTGTGGATCATATGCTTGTTGTAACAATAATTTTCGTCATTTTCGCAGGTTTCGAGGCTTAAAAAAACAACTACGGTAAAAATTTTAGTTTTAAAACATTTAGATAGTCCTATTTCAATAACTATCAGTGTTCGGAAACTCACCATTTTTTCTCTCTATTTTGGTTAATGACAGAAACAACTCAAACAAGGTGGAGCGACAGTTGATGTTCGAACTGAGGTAAGTATTTTGAACTACTTTGAAAGTCAATTATTTCGTCGAAGAGTGTTCTGTAACATGAAAATGACACAGTTTGCTTTGCTTACACGAACCGAGTAGATACGAAGGCAGTCAACATGGGAACTTGAAGTCTTCAAAGAACGATGGGATCAAGCTACTGCAAAGGATAAAACTTGGGATGATCCATTCAAGAGACACATAAGAAGAAGGCGCGACAGTCACTAAGACCATGTTTGTTTCTGCTGTAGATTGCCTTTGCGCCATACCTCAACATGGAGCATGACCAGCGTGAATCCAAACGCATGCTAACTCGGTTGCTCGGATATGTTAAAGCTTCTTTCACATATGTTACCTTTTTTATAGCCATAGTTACGTATTTGTAGCTCTGTGAGTTCTTAATTCAATTCATTTTTGAAACATAACTCTTTTCTCTTTATATTCTTTTTGCTGATAAACTCCATTTTTCTTTCTTGGCATTCTCACTATTATAAATTACAAATATTTTTTTAAGGTTCATTGACTAAGTGAGGTATCTAATTTAGCACTGATGCATCAGTTATTCAATGAATTTAAAAATATAATATTATTTATAATAGGATATTATTGTTGATATGGATAATATTATTTATAATAGGACATTATTGTTGATATGGATGAGGTGTTATGTTAAGGAGTTGGTGGCTCTCAATGGGATAAGGTACAGTGGTTATTGATTTGTAGTTGGTTTGGTTTTTACTTAATGGTGTTTTCCTAAAAGCACTAAATTATTGAATTTTTTTAATGTTTAAATGACAATTTATTTGATATTTTTATATAAATATTTTAAGAGTAAAGAATATGTAAAATTGTGCCCAGAGCAACTTTAGTGCATGATTGTTAAACCAAAATTTTGTATAGCTTATATTAGTAATAAAAAATTTGCATTATAGTAGAGCTGACATAACATTTAGTGAACTAAAGTTTAGTTTTCATTATCTATATAGTTAACGTTAAATATTCAATGTGAAACATATTATAATATTATTTAATATTAATAAAATATTTCAACAGCATTAAATTAATGATAACTTGAATAAAAAATATAAAATATGGGGTTAAGTTTTGATTTCTTGTAGACAACCATCGTTAAAGTAAAAATTACTCAAATCAACTATAAATTTTTTAAATCCTACAAAACACTTTGAGCCTACAAAAAATATCTTAGTTTACCTATTTAGTTTACTCTCATTAAAGATGCTCTTACAATTCTCTCCGTTATCTTTTTATTTTATTTGGTCATTTATTATTAAAAAAATGCTAACAAGGTTATTTATAGAATTTGTTACTTATTCATTAAATAACGCTGTAATTCATAACCATACATCTTCGTATACAACGAAAATCCAAAAAGTTTTTCCAAGTTATATCATTTTGTTGTAGTTTTTTTTCCAACCATATTCTATCATCATGTTAGTAGTTTTTTTTCTTTCCAATCATACTCTCGTTATGTCGTCCATTTCAAACATATTTACGTCGTATAATTCAATATTGATTTTATTGATTGTTTTTCAATTCAATATTGTTTGTGGTTTTTCAATTGTGACTTGTTTGTAATCGTTAAACTCGTATTTGCTTATTGTTGTTGAATTAAATATATTATTTTGTTTATTTTTGGTAATTCAATCTTATTTAATTTAAATATTCTGAGTTATTTGAATTTTAATTTAGGTATCATGTTCTATTATTTTTATTTTTATTTGAATTGATTTAACTTATTGTAATTCTTTAATTTGTTTAAATTGTTCTTAAATAAAGGTTAATTCCATCGTTTTATTAACTATACCATTGATCTTGTTGTATTGTTAAGTTTGAAATGAATTTTTAAAATATTTATTTTATTAAGTTGTGAGTGTATGATTGTGTATGATATTTTTATAAAATTTAGTTTGATATTATTAATTTATTTGAAAAACGGTTCGATCGTAGGTTCAATCGGTTGAAACATTTGAACCTTAAAGTGAAAGTTTCACTAGTTTGACCTCCGGTTCAATTTTTAAAACACTGCATGAATCTTCTTTCTTATTATAGGAAGTTTGCAAGGTCCATAGAAAAACACCCAAGAGAGAACATTCAGTTGAAAGGTGGAAAAAAAAGTAGTCTTTCAATCTAATCAGAAGCAGACAATTTCGTCTTCGAACACATCAATCACAATTTGATTCAATTTGACGATTATCTGCACCACATGCATCACCACAACCGAATAGTTTCAACCATTCTTAGTATATAAGGGTAAAATATGTTATTTCAGGTATTTAAATTCATTCTCTCACACATTAATACCCATTTCTCTCACTCAATTGATCTTTGGAGTGCCAACTTTATAGTTTTGTCCTTTTCTATCGCATTAGAAGTATTGTTCCATTGCTACAAGATACAACTGCACCACATCATCTTTCAATTCTAGTTCCTAACTAAACAATGGCGCTGTATGTGAGAATCAACTTCTAATTCTCGCTAATTTTTATGAAAACCATTGTTCCTCCATAAAAGATCCAAATCATAGATCTTCTTTCTTGGCGTTTCAACCTCCTCCTCAAACATATCTATTATCATATTCATTAAGCATGATGACATTCAAAGTCACTTGATTTATCGCTCAATGGCAAGCTACTATTGCAGCTTTCAAAACTCTGTCTCTTTCTCCTTCTCTTATAAGGGAAAACGATCCAAATCTGGTGGCGTCTCCATCTGACCCTACACAATAAGATTATGCTCCTCTAAGAGTTGGTTAAAGAGCATTCCAAGTTATTCCGTTCTTCAGATCCATACAACATCTTCACAGGGGCGAACTGTTGCATCAACCTCCTTTGCTTCCTATTATACATGGATAGGAAATACTCAAAAGCCTTCAACTATTGCAAGCGAATCTTGGACCACTAGGAGCTAATAACTTGTTGTAATGTTATATTTGTAAATACCTGACTACGGCGGGAGTTGTGTCGCCAGGAGGAAGGGCATGAGATGTGCCTTCAGGGAGGTATCACATTGCCCCAGTACTTTCCTCTCGGCCAATCATAGGAAACATGGGATAACATGTTTCATGGCAAGAGATAAGTCAGGGTTAATAACTGATTCATATCTTTGCAGGAAATAGGGATTCAATGGTCCACCATTGACTAAGTGGGCGGTGACCCTTTCCAAGAAAATCCTAGGTCCAAAACCTTTATAAATACTTCTCCTCTAACGGGAGAAAGGGAACATAACCTTAATTCATATGCTTATACCTAAACACAAAATTAAGATACATAGTCTTTCACCTCACGTGAACAGGTCCTTTAAAACCACCATAAAACCACCATACAGGTTTTCTCGCTGCCGTGGGCAAGCCCTAACCACACAAAATTGTAATAAACCTACTAAGACCTCTGAGTACTTTTGCCTTTGCAGTGATAACACGCACACTTGTAATTTTTTATATCAGACACTCGTTAATCAACGTCTATAACCTAGTACACCAACAAAACTCATAATTCTTAGCTGATACAATATTCAGGATTGAAGAGAACCTTCAATACACTCCACCAAATGACAGTATTGTACCAGAGGCAACCTCCCAAGAAAATATGGTTGTCATACAAAAGTCGGTCCATACTAGCATAACTACGATACTGAGAGAAGTTTCGAGATCACCAACTCGCAATCAGCACCAATGATTTTGAATTCTCCTACCCAATTCTATAAGAAAGATTGATAGCCATACTTCTCTAAAGATCTATCGTCCTCATCAATTCCCCAAACATGGACCTTCTAGTCCCGTAAAAAGCTCGTACCACCAAGTCACTTGGGGTGCACATTATCCCTCGGGTATCTAACTTCATCAATGCCTTCTTAGGCAGCACATTAAGCGAGGATCCCGTGTCAACCAGCACGTGCGACATCACAACCCCTCTACATTCAATCGAGATATGTAGCTCATGATTATGATCCCGTCCCTTGGGAGTCAAATCCAAATCAGTAAATCCCAGCCCGTTACCCGCATTAACATGTGCCACTACTCCTTCGAGTTGATTCACAGATATCTCCTGTGGCACATAGGTTGTATTCAAGATTCTTAGGAGAGCATTTCTGTGCACCTCAGAGCACAACAACAGTGATAAAATGGAGATTTTTGACGGAGTCTGCTGTAAGTGATCCACAATCTTGTAGTCACTCTTCCTTATCAAGCGCATAAACTCTTCCACATCCTTCAACAATGTTTCCTTCTCACCAGCTTGAGAGCTCTCTTCAACTACCACCTTCCCTTTACTTTTATCGGGCCTCTCAACATTTACTTTGGGAGGTGAAAATACTCTTCCACTCCGGGTCATCCCTCCAGCTCCTACTAGATTGTCAATCGAATCCAAAGGCGAACTTTTCAGTTCCTGCTTCTGCCTGTTGCAATAGACCTCGGCCCCATAATTCCAAGGGGTCGCCTTGGAGTTCTCGTAGGCTAAAAACAACAGATTTCTCAAAATCAAAATCATAAGCACCAATACACAATATCTTCTATCCTTCAGTGCTTTGAATCCTTTAAATATTCTCTAAATCAATTCACACCCATCAATCCCTTGAATCCAACACGATTAGTCCCAGAAACTAAAGTTGAATCAAGTTTAGTCAATTAAAACTAGCATTGAACCCAAAAATTAAAATCAGTCTTGTAAAAACGTTTGATTTAATAAAATTCATAGAAATAATTTTTTAAAAAATTATTTTTCTAAAGTTTAACATGCCACCATTATCACAACTTAAAACATTTATACAAAAAAAATCCTTGTTTTTTTTACGACCACCCAAACTTTTAAGTTATATCATTTTGTTATAGTTTTTTTTTTCCAACCATATTCTATCATCATGTTGTAGTTTTTTATTCCAACCATACTCTATCATCATGTCGCCCATTTCAAACATATTTACGTCGTATGATTCAATATTGGTTGTTTTTCAATTCAATATTATTTGTGCTTTTTCAATTGTGACTTGTTTGTAATCGTTAAACTCACATTTGCTTATTGTTGTTGAATTAAATATATTATTTTGTTTATTTTTCATAATTTAATCTTATTTAATTTAAATATTCTGAGTTATTTGAATTTTAATTTAGATGTCATGTTCTATTATTTTTATTTTTATTTGAATTGATTTAACTTATTATAATTCTTTAATTTGTTCAAATTGTTCCTAAATAAAGGTTAATTCCATCGTTT